TCAAACACTCTTGAGGACCGATACAAGAGTCGAACTGGAATTTTCAAAGAAACTTTTTTTAAACCCACGTTGAAAAGAAAACAAACCATTTTTGAAAACACAAATGAGCAAGTATCTAAGAGCCCATGGATAACCATGGATAGAAAGGGTGCTAACACCTTCCCTTTCTATAATCTACCTCCCGAACCGAGAGCAATCTCTTTAAGGAATTTTTCTGTGCTTTTGTCCTTTCCATTTGGAGAAAATAAAAGACGGTGGCGACTCTTGCTTCCGCGACATTTCGCGAACCAGCGTTAAACAGTCAGTTCCAGATCCACCGATCACACACTGCACTTCATCTAGGGCACATTAGAGCCTTAGAGTGTTTCTTTTGAAAAATAACAAGAAATTCCAATAGTTCCTCTCCTATTTTTGGGTAATCCACTTTCATTTGTTCTTCTTCTTTTTGGATGTGTCTTTCGACCTCATCCATCTTAGCATGTTGGCTCATCTCCACCATGTTCACTTCGAGGTTGGGACCATTAGTGATCCTGACTCTTTGGAATTTGATTCTGAGGCCTTCAGTAGCCTTTGTCATTTCAACATCTGGATTAAATCTAACAACAACCTTACCCTTAGCATCTTTGTTAATGAAGCCTTCAGTAGCTTCCTTAGATTCCGCATCTGTAGAAAAATCCTCAGTGATTTTTCCCTCAGGGTCCTTGTTGATGGGGCCTTCAGTAACCTCCATCATGTTAATGTCTACCAGTTCAACATAGTTGGTATCTACTATCTATAAAGGATCAGCATTAACTCTCATCTTGCTCATTTCGTTGAACCTCAACCTTTTTTCTCTGATAGCATTTTAAACTAGATCCTGGAAAAGAAAACATCGTGAAGTTTCATGTCCTAAAAAATTATGATATTTGAAAAAACCTCTTTTCTTCCGTTGTTCAAACAGAGGAATTTTGGCGCCAGGTGGCACTATCATCTGGCCATCCTTCACCAATAAATAAAAAATTTCATCACATTTCGTCACATTGAAAGTGTATGTTTTTTTTTTTGGGGAATTTATCATTCTTTTTAGGTTCAACAGGATTCTTCCCATTCGAAGGGGCTAAGACTTTACAAGAATAGGGTGGGTCTTACTTTAATTCATCCAAGTTCACTTCGCCTTCTTCGAAGCCTATAGGGTCACTATATATCTCTTGTTCATCTTCCCCAGCTTTGCCATATGCAACTCTTTCTTTTCTATTGTTTTTATTCACCCTAGCCTTTTCAGCCTTCAGACATTCGACTTGTCGAACTCAGTCCGCTAATTGGGCCATGTACCTCAAGTATTGGGTGTCTAATTTCTTTCGAATGGAGTAATCCAAACCGTCTATGCCCATTTCTCCCAACTCATGTTCAAGAACTTGCGTAAAACATGTTGCCTTCAACAAATAGAACCTATTTAAGTAATCATGAATTGGCTCAGTAAACTTTCTCTTGATATTGGACAATTCTTTGAGACTAATCTTTGATTGTCCCATATAAAATTGCTCATGGAATAACCTCTCTAAGCTAGTCCAATCATGGATGGAACTTGCTGGGAGGGTGGTGAAACATGTGAAAACATTTTTGGTTAGCAAACTAGGAAAGTATTTTATCCTTAAGTTTTCATTATTCACTATGTCCCCAGCCTCAGTAAGATACATGGCTATATGTTCGATAGTAGATTTGCTGGTGTCACCAGAGAATTTTGTGAACTTTGGAACTTTCCAACCCCTAGGTAACTCAGTCTGTAGAACATATTCAGACAAAAGGGATGTGTAATTCAACCTTCAAAGGCCTATATTTACCCCATTTCGAGCCATTATTCTTTCGACCATGGATTCCAGATTATTTTCCCCTGGGTATTCGTCTTGTCGAACGCATTGAAGGACTTCATCCGCGTCTTGGTTTTTGTTGACCATTACTACCCTTGGAGCTTGAACTTCCCTTAGTATGACTTGTTCGTTCCTGGGTTGTTCTATTCTTGGCCCCTGATTGACTTTGCCAACATTTTGTACAATTGGTTGCACTTGATTGATTGTTGGGTCCTCTTTGACTACTAACCCATGTTTTTCTCTCATCTAATCTCGACGAGCTTGTCGAACTAGTACTTGACAAGCGCCAAAGAAATCTACAATTCACACCAACTACGCTGCCAACTGCTGGTTCGTCTGGAAGTTTTGTTGGTTAATTTGGGTAGCACTTTGAATTAATGGGTTAAAAATTGTACCCATCTATTGGGCTAAGATACCAACCATTTCATGATTGTTTTCATCCATTTATTGTCGAAATGATATTGCAGAATTCGTTGTGAGGGTAGGTAATTGGGCAGCAAATTCCGGGGGTGGGACATTTCGACCCATGTTACTATTTCCTGGTTCTGATCCTTGTAGTGGTGAAAATGTAGACACCCTTGGTTCAGGAAATATTGATGCACTATTGTTTAGGCTTTCCATCATTGTTGTTGGCATGCCATAAATTTGTTCGTGGTCATCCATTGGCATTGTGAATCCAGACGCAAAATTCCTGAAATTGTTCATCCCCGGTGGTCTTGGGGTCACTAGGGGACCATGTGTATGTACTGAGGATAGAACTGGACCATTATAAACATATGTTGATATTTCCATTGTATTCGCTTTAACTGGTATCGATTCGGTTGTAGATAACGCAGTCGTACTTTCCCCTGTCGAAGGGGGTGGTTGTTCTCCATTGTTATTGGGTGGGTTAACTATCTTCCTAGTGTATTTCTTTTTTGGTATTGGTTCGTTAGTTTTTGTTAATTTTTCACTCCTTAATCTCATATAACAATGTCAAACAAATAGACTGAAACGAAAGACAATACAACACAAAACAAAATTTATGACATAAACTTAGACACTCGTCCCATTAGACGTGCCAATTTATTTATCTTGAAATTCGATAAACAACCGCTAGTCTTCCGAATTCTAAAAATGTTGGTTACTTACAGGATCGACTAGATTGATCCTAGGACATAGTGCGTATTTTATGTTTTCTAAGTTTTCTGGGTACTCAATCTCTATCAGAAATAATTATAACGAAAGTAAAGATAAAAAACTTTAAAATAAAGATAAAAAGGCTTTAAGATAAAGACTGAAATGTATTTGAACTTCGACTTAAACTTAATGAAACATAAAAGACTTTATTCGAAAATGAATAACATTGAATGGAAAAAACCGGTGTTTCATATGTGCATTCTCAACTACTCGTTTCTCTAAAACTTGGTACTTTGAGTTTATTTGAGTAATTTATACAAAGTGAGCACACATAATTCTAACACAAGAAACTCCTATATATATATAGTAATTCGAAACTAACTACCACGAACGAACTTCTTTTGAGAAGTTGACACGTTCTCGTTTGTATGTCTCTAGCCTTTCACAGGCCTCCGTGTATCTCTTTTTCAAAGATCAAATAAGTGCCAAAACCAATTTGAATGTCTGTCGAACCCGCTTCAAATTTCTTTAGAAACTTGCTAAGTTTTCTCCTTACATTGCTTCGCCTGGGCTAATTTCGGTCGAAATATATCTTTTACCAATGCTTGTCGAAACAATGACTTCCATTATCCAACACTTAACTTTCGAATTTGCTTTGAACATTGTTTCATTGGAAACGTCAAAATTACACATAACAACATGTTTAGAGGAAAGAGTGATCTTAATCTTATGGATCTGTTCTTATGATTTTTCCAAACCATACCTATCATGTTAGTCAAAACTTCTTAGTCGACGAAATTGTTTATGTCGAAACTTATTAATGAATGCTTTCAACACTTAGCATTTCTCAACCTAGCATTCTTCTTCGACTTCTCTTTAGCTGGAATTTTCAAGCTATCAACTCGATATGCTTAAAATGTTTCTTTTATAACCTAAAGCCTATCTCTTTTTAATTAAATAGGTTTATAAAAATATCTAATTTTTTCTATTTTATAAAAAATTCAAATTTAATTTGAGTCTATGTAAATTAGATCATAAGTCTATGTTAGTCGGTCTGACCTTCTCCACTCTAACCAGATTAATACAATAGATCATCATGCAATCCAGCAATTAGATAACGCGAGTATTATCCCTCCCCATTATATGATATACTAGTAATTAAGGAGATGCTCAACTTTAATGTCCATTGATCTATCTATCTTAAAAAAAGGTTGACTAGAGATACCCAACCCACCTTCAAAAAGATATCATTGGATGGTGTCACACCATCACCTGAGTATCTATTACATGGTCATTTGCATTTTTCCATGTATAAACTTTTTTTGGGATGCGTGAAAAGCAAACATAGTTAAAAAATAGGAAAGATGCAAATAGTACTATACGATGTATATACAGTGTCAATAATTTGTGTGTTCAAATAACACACCTCTTTTCTTTTTATTAAGCATGGTTTTTAGTTTTAAATTGAGGTTTGTTGCGGCTACAATATTGTTTGCGCGATAATCTATGAAAAACTCAAATCTAAATGGTAGATTGACCGCGTTAAAACACATTAGAAAATTTTGTTTGTATTTTATCAAAATTATTTATTAAAATTCAAAATTATTTATTTATTTATAATGTAATGACAATCTTAACATTATTTTTAACATTGATTTCAAACAATTTTTAATTCTAATTCACCCCCAAACGCAACAAAGCAATCACAATAATTGCAATTTTCTCATTTACTACTCTCGTATGATTTATAAAAAAAAATTATGTTAATTAATTAATGTAGAGAGAGTTTGAAATAAAAATATTAAATGCACGTAGATTTGTAATCTTTTATTTATATTTAAGGTCAAAAAATTTAGAATACTTTTACTTATAAATAAAAAAAGGGGAAATACAACTATATTCACTATAAAATAGTAATCTAGATCATAGTATTAACATTAACTTATTCATATGAAGTGTAACATATGTAATATATACATATATAAAAAAAATAAAAAATGAAAGATGAAAATGGCATAAGATTGTAAGTTTTTTTCAATTTGAATGTTGAGTAGAGTAGAAATGGTGACATGAACGAGCAGTCCACAAAGAACTAAGAGTGCGAAGACGATGAAAATATTCCCCCATAGCCAGCAAGCCTTGGGCAGCTTGCCCAATTGTGAGTATGCGTGACATGTATAACAGAGTTTGTTCTCTTAGATGATCCGCCTGTAATTAAAGGAAAACATTAATTTTGCATTCAAAGGACTAATTAACTATGAAACACCCACACTGACACATAGACAACACTCGACACTCACTGACGAACACATATACAACACTGACAATGATACATTGAGGTAAAAATTTGAAAAAGTAATCAATTTAAAGTAATCACATATGGTGGAGTTATGTCACTACCAGAGATTAAACATATCTTCCATCAGAAGTGTCAGTGCGACTGAGCTAATCACTCCCAGTTAAATTTCAACCGACACAAACATGACTAAGCTCATGATGCTATATTACCTGATTTACAAAGCCTTCTAATGCTTCTCCTTTATCCATGGCATAAGCCATTTGAAGACCATAGTTTCCGAATTCCAAGGGATCAGCTTGAATGTTATAGATCATACTCTGTTGGAGTTTCTCTAACCCCATTGAAAGAGCATCTTCTGCTTGTTGAGAAGATAATCGAAGATTATTAATGCTACCAGTTTGTTGATCAGTTAAAGCCTCGAGCTTTGGTACAATGATCTATAACGAAAACTCAAGTAGTTAATTTCTGCAAGATCGTTAACTTTTATGTATTTATGAGAATCAGATAAAAGTAATCAGTGAATGTACATTTAGAATCTGCGACGGTCGAGATCCTCCAATCCAAAGAAAAAGGCGTTCTATCGACGATTTCCATGTGCCAGAGATTAAATAGAACACATCGATCTTTGCAGCTTCTGCTTTCATTCTGAAAAGATTTGAGTATTGGTTCAAGCTACTTTCAACAAGTAGATGAAGTTGTATATCAGATGCATTATTTTGCAATGCATTTCTTAGTTCTTCGTTTTGTCTATCTTGTTCTTCAATCAATCGTCCATATTCGATTTCAAACAAAGATATCCCTGCTTCAAAAAAGCAATAATCAAAAGATCATTAAAAAGAAACTCAACTTATATGTGCTAGTTCAGTTAAATGAGTGTAATCAATTGATTCAGGCTTTAATTTCTGACGTCAACATTTATTTATATTTATATGCGCATTGATATAAACAAATTGTTGGTCCTTATAAATAAAAAACTATGAATCACTAACTAACCTGAATTTATTGTTCTGGATGATCCGATATAACCGACATCTAATGAACTGCTTCTGCTCAAACCCTGCACGCAGAGATTTTGATTTATGCTTAGAAATGATAAACAAAATAATTTACATCAAATTAGATTAAGAATTAAGCAAGATGATGTTTTAGTTAGTATCAAATCACATGTTTTCTTGTTTTCTCAATCTCAAGTTCCAATTGCATGAGCTTCAATCTACTTGTTTCCAATTGTTGAACATAAGCCTGTGAATCAAAAAACACAAATCAGATCATAATTCATAAACACTAACTTTCCTTCCATAAGTTCTACTTTTCCAACCTTCTTTCGCAGTCGACATTTTCTAGCAGCCTCGCGATTTTGTGCTTGCCGTCTCAACACCTAAATAAAAAAGGCAAAATCCAACTAAGTATTAGTAACATAAATTTTAACAGTCAAAATTTAATTTTTTTTTTAATGTCTCTAACTTTGGTTGTTATTTCAAAAGTGGTGTAATTTTATCACCTTAGGAATAGGTTCTTCAATAGTTTCTTGATCATCATCTCCGGAAGCTTCTCTTGATTCATGTGGAATACATTCAGACTAAACAGATGAAAATCAAAAAACAATTATCAACTAATTTTCATATAAAACAATGCTAATTTCAACAAAACACAAATTGATAACTTTTTAACCTTGTTTTCCATGCTACTATTGTTCATCATCAACATTGGTGAAGAAATTGAATTCAAGGTGCTATGATCAACTTTAAAGCTATCTTCCCACAAGTTCACTTGATGAAATGATTCATATATATCCATCCTTTTCGCCGCGACTAGTTCAGTTGATGACGAAGAATTCATATACTAAACATCATATAAAAAACAAAATCATAAATCAAATTGAAGAATCAGAGTAACATCATCATGTAGAAAAAAAATAAAAAACTTTTGGAATATAGCATAAATACTAGAAATTAAACAAAACTCAACATCAGAAACAGAAACAGAAAAATTAAAAGTTTTGCACATGATTAATGTTCTGTTTGTCTCCAAAAAATAATTATAATTTGATGCTGCTTAAAAAAGCAAGAAAATATAAACACAGCTGAAAAAGAAAGCCAACCTGGTATAGCTTGGTAGAATCTGCAATCACACCAATATTAACATTAGTTCAATTTAGATTTTAGACCCAAAAATGAAATGAATCTATCTATCAATCGTTATATATACAGAAAGAAATAAATAATTTAAATATGAACAAATTTAGTAACAAATAATACCATTATTTTTTTCATATACAAACAAGCTATGAAAAGAAAGGCACTGAGAAAAGAAAATTGGAGTGTATAATAAATAAAACATAGTAATGATATTTCAAATATATAACAGCTTTTTCTTTTTAGTATATATTTTTTTGATGTGTCAGATTGTTAAGGGCTAAGGCTGTTACTTTCTATTTTAAGAGAAACAAATGAGTGGTGCATTAAAAATGAAAAGAATGAGCACAGAAGAAAGTACTTGTTGATTACAGCTTTTGTTAATAATTTGATAGTGATCTTTGCCAAACATAAGTAGTGAAGATACTATTTCTACTTCTATCATTTGTTTATATACTATTCAAATACGTTAAACAAGTTGATTCATATTTTGATATTTAATTCAATTTTTTATTTGAGATATTCTTTTTACAAAATTAATATAAGTATTTATAAGAGTTTTTAAATTAAAAATGCTATTTGACAATGCATTTATACACTATATCTTATTTCAATGTTCACAAATATGCTGAATAATAAAATATTATAATAATAAAATAATTTATTAAAAAATATAAAGATTATTTTTTAAAATTTTAAAAATTTTGAATTAAAATATATCAATATAAATTGTGTAATTAATTAACTTAATAATTTCATTAATAAACATTTATATTTTATTAATTAATTTTATTTTACTACTACATATTATTTTAATATCTGAACATTTATTAACCAACTTCATCATTTCATTAACTAACTTTTTTATATTTCATTAACCAATTTTATTTTACTACTAAAAATTATTTATAATATCTGCTTATTAACCCACTTCATCATTTTATTAACTAATTTTTTATATTTTATTAATAAATTTTGTTTTATTATTGTTCTGGACTGGGCCCGACAGGCCCAAAAGCATTACTAAGGCCCAGTCCAAAGGGACTCACTAAGGACCACACTGGGCAAAGGGGATCGCGTCCATGCCCGACACCCTAATGTCCACCTCGACATCTCGATGTCCAGCCCCACGCGGTGAAGTCATGCTCGACACCCTGCCGTCCGGCTCTATGTCCTGACGTCCAGCTCGACACTCGCTGTTCAGCTCGAGGTCTTGGCGTCGAGCTCGGCACCGTGCTGCGCAGCTCGACATGGTCTCGAGCTACCTGGCTAGGGCAGACTCAGTCCACCGTTGCCCCAACGATACTCCGGAAAGACCGCGTCTCCGTCCGCCCGCACTTCACGTAGCACATCCAGGAAGGGGACCACGTGCTGGTCCCCACTACCCACGTAGAACCTGGCAGTTCCTCCATTGGGCCAAATCCGCCCGGCCCAATGAAGGAACCTTGGCCCAGCGCTGGGGGCTATAAATACCCTCTGTTTCCAGAGGGTCAGGTATTCATCATTCTAACCTCAACTCTATTATCTGCTCGTACTCCCACTGACTTTAGCATCGGAGTGCCTTGCAGGTACCCCCCCCCCCTCCTCGTTCAAAAAGCCTTCAGCTCGGAGTAAGCCGTGACGGTCCAAACCTTCTGATCAGGTCAGATCAGTGGCGCCGTCTGTGGGAAACAGCTTCCCCGTCTAACGAACAATTCCAAAGACCAAAGCTCAATCCATTCACTGTCATGGCTGATCCAGCTCGTGAAGAACAGCACACCCGCGTCCTCGACACCAACAACGGTCCCGCGGACAAGAATGGGCACCTGGACAATCCCAGTGATGCCGGCCACAATGCCGTCCCCGTGACAACCGCCCTTGGACCTTCCACCCGCAGGGACGGGAACACTGCGTCCTCCTCGACAACTCCTCCAAGACTCGAAGACGACCCGGAAGCCCTCGCCTACCGCAGAGCTGCCCGGTTCCATGAAGTCCCAGTTCCTGCCGGGGCAGATGCCACGACTCAGGCACTGTTCGCGGCCATCAACCAAACAAATTATCTCCTATTTGCCCAAGGAGAAAGACTAAGGGCACTTGAAAATGATCGACGCCCCCCGAGGAGACATCAAAGGCCACCATCTCCACCTCCTCGGGTCGAAGAAGTTTGACACCCTACTCCCCCGCGGAGACATTACAGGGAGAACTCTAGGAGCCCCTCTCCCCCACCAAGGCAGAGGCGCCCCCAATATGAAAGACAGCCCGTCATCCCTACCGAAGAGCCCAGTCGCGACCCATCGAGGCACGACAGGAGGCACAACAGAGACGGGCGTGTGACCTTCAACCACCGAGCATCACGCTCGAGGGAATCTCAGCACGACCAGCGTGCCAGACATCACTACAGGACCCCTTCTCTTTCTCCAGAAAGGAGCGACGAGGACGACCCCCGCGGTCCCCTGTCGCAGGCCATCATGGACGCACCCATTCCCCCGGGCATGGAAAAGCCCCCACATCTGAAGGAGTATGATGGAGTGGCAGACCCAGTCGACCACATTGACGGGTTCGAGGCCATGCTCCACTATCACAATGTCGGGGGCCCCATCAAGTGCCGTCTCTTCCCCACAACTCTCAGGAAGGCGGCCATGGACTGGTACAAAGGACTCGCCCCGGGCTCCATCACCTCGTGGCGGAACTTGAAGAACCAGTTCATCAGTTCCTTCACAGCTTCTCGTCGCCACCCGAAGACCGAAGCAGCCCTCGAGGCCATCATCCAAAGACATGATGAGACCTTGAGGGAATTCATCAACCGCTTCAACCGAGAAGCAATACAGGTCCCCTGCGCGGACCATATGAAAAGATACTTGCTGGAGAGGGGCCTCCTCCCCGGCACAGAATTCAGAAAAGCTGTGGGTATTGAGCCACCTGCAACTTTTGATGCTCTCCTCGACAAAGCCCGAGCATACATGGACTACGAGGAGAGAGAAGCTGCCAACAGGGCACGAGACTCCAGAGCTCGCAATCATGGCAGCAGCTCGAGACAAGACCCTCCTCCCCGACGGACCGGAGAGAAGAGGAAGGAAGATCGACCCCGGGAGGTTCGGGAACAAAGGGGCCCCTCGGGCCGTTTCACCGAGTACACTCCGCTCACGGCTTCCCGCGAGCGTATTCTGGCGGAGTGTGCTAGTACAGATTTTAAAGACGGTGGCGTCAAGCGTCCCCGACCAGCTCCTGCCAAGCCAGGAGTAGACAAAAACAAGTACTGTCAGTACCATAGGAGTCATGGTCACTTGACAGAGGACTGCGTCCACCTGAAGGACGCCATCGAAACCCTCATCAAAGGAGGGAGGCTTGCACAGTACAGGAGAAACGACGCTCCCCGTCGTGACGCCCGCGAGGCAAAGGAGCCCGAAGAAGATGCCCGACCATCTGACGAGTCGGTGCCAATCCAGACCGCCTTCTCGGTAACCAGGCCCGAGGATTTCGAACTTCCCGAGCTCCTGCAGGAGCCCCTGACTACACACAGCAGGTGGGAATACTTCCCCTCCGCCATGGTCATCAACGGGGGCGGGTTCAACGACCTCACCATCAACTCGGCCAAGAGGAAGTTAGACGAACTGGTCGACAAAGCTCCTCCACAAACTGTGACTTTCGAAATGGTGAGGGGCAGATCAGAGCCTATCACCTTCTACTTGGAAGAGCTCCCCGGCGGAGCACCGAACGCAGTCATCCCCTTGCTGATAAGGGCAAAGATGGCCAATTTTGACGTGCATCGCATCCTGGTCGACGAAGGGAGTTCCGTCGACGTGATGTACACCCAGCTGTTCCGGACCTTACAACTGGACGACTCACATCTGTCTCCATATATAGGTTCGGACCTTCAAGGCTTCAACGGCTCGACGTCCAAACCTTGGGGATATGTCGAGCTCCTCGTGACATTCGGGGAAGGAACTGCTACAAGACAGGTGAAGGTCCGCTTCCTCGTCATTGACTGCCCGTCCCTGTACAATTGCATCTTGGGGAGGCCGACATTGGCGGAGCTGACAGCGGTCCCCTCAACTGTCCATCTAAAAATGAAGTTCTATACCAAGAGGGCGAGGGTAGCCACCATCCAGGGCGACCTCGCTGCTGCCCGCAGGTGCTTCAACGCCGCTTCAAGGGGACGGGATACTGTCGATGTGGGTACCAGCACAAGGCCCATCAAGAAGACAAAGCAAGAGCCCGACAGAGCATCTCCCGAGGTAGAAGTCCAGAAGGCTCCACCAAAGGTCGACTCCATAGCCCTCGACGCCCGCTTCGACCAAGACGAGCCGGCCAGCAGCGAGCAAATCCCCCTCCGACCTATTCCGGACGGTGATTTCGAACTCGTTCCCCTCGGAGCAGACCCGACCAAGGGAGTGAAGATTGGCAAGGACCTCCCCGACTTGGCCAGAAAGCAAATCAAGGCCTGTCTGCGCGAGAATGCTGATCTCTTCGCCTGGAGCGCTGCAGAGATGCTCGGACTCGACCCTGAGGTCGCCTGTCATCACCTCGCCATTGATCCAGCCGCCAAGGCCGTAGTACAACGTAGGCGTAGGCAGTCTCCAGAAAAAACAGAGGCTGCTGAAAAAGCTGTAAAAGACCTCTTAGAGGCAAATTTTATTTCTGAAGCCCGGTATTCCACCTGGCTGTCAAATGTTGTACTTGTCAAAAAGAATAATGGAAAATGGAGAATGTGTGTTGGCTATACCGACCTCAACCGGGCTTGCCCGAAGGATGCTTTTCCTCTACCTAACATCGACATGCTGGTCGACAATTCGGCCGGATACAAGACTTTGTCGTTCATGGACGCCTACTCGGGATACAATCAAATCCCAATGGCCCTGGGCGACAAACGCTGCACGGCGTTCATGACCAGCTCGGGCAACTATTACTACAACGTAATGCCCTTCGGACTGAAGAACGCCGGTGCGACTTACCAACGCATGATGAACAAAGTGTTCAACAAACAAATTGGCGACATGCTCGAGGTATATATGGACGACATGATCGTCAAATCTCGAGCGGATACCGACCATGCAGCTCATCTCAAAACAGTCTTCGCCCAAGCAAGACAGTGCAAAATGAGGTTCAACCCCGAGAAGTGCACGTTTGGGGTCAAGGCAGGAAAATTCCTCGGATTCTATCTAACAGAACGAGGGATTGAAGCCAACCCCGACAAGTGTCGAGCATTCGCCGACCTCCCGACTCCAACGTCGAAGAAGTCGATCCAGATCATGAACGGCATGTTGACGTCACTATCACGCTTCGTCGCGAAGTCCGCTCAGCACGCCCTTCCCTTTTTCAAACTCCTTCGAAAGGAAGCAGCCTTCGAATGGACCGAGGAATGCGAACACGCACTTCGCCATCTGAAGCAGAGCCTGTCTCAACCGCCCGTATTGTCTCGACCAGATGACGGCGAGCCACTATACTTGTACTTGGCAGTTTCAAACGAAGCCATCAGTGCAGCTCTTGTCCGCGAGACTCCTGACGGGCAGAAACCTGTCTACTTCACGAGCAAAGCCCTACAAGGCCCCGAGAGCAGGTATCAACAGATAGAAAAGGTTGCTCTGGCCCTCGTCAACGCTGCGAGGAGGCTCAGACACTACTTTCTAGCACACACCATCATCGTGCGAACCGATCAACCGGTGAGGCAACTCCTGGGTCGACCAGATATGGCGGGCAGAATGCTGAAGTGGTCCCTAGAACTCTCTGAATTCGACATTCAATACGAGAGCAGGAAAGCCCTGAAAGCACAAGCCCTGGCCGACTTCGTCGCCGAGATGACCCCTAACGACATTCCCCCGGGAAAGGAACACAAATGGACCATCTTCATCGACGGAGCCTCCAGTGCGTCCGGAAGCGGCGCGGGGATCCTCCTCGAAAACGAAGAGGGTGTGGTAATCGAGCACTCCTTGGTTCTCTCCTTCCCGACGTCAAATAACCAGGCAGAATACGAAGCCCTGCTCGCAGGACTGAGACTAGCCGAGGACCTAGGAGCCCGTGAAGTTCAAATTTACACCGACTCCCAGCTCGTCGCTTCCCAAGTACAGGGAAGCTACCAGGCCAAGAATGACAACCTCATTGAGTACTTGAACTTAGTCAAAAAACACATGGCAAAGTTCGTACGAGCAGAAATCTCTCACGTTCCCCGCGAGCAAAACACGAGGGCGGACATATTGTCCAAACTCGCGAGCACACGAAAGAAAGGCGGGAATAAATCCGTCATCCAGGAATCTCTGGCACGACCGAGCATCGAAC